TATCGATGAGCTGGTTCTCTTTACATCCAGCGACTCCTCTCTTCGACTGCGGTGAGTATTCGTGTGTATAAGATGCTTGTAAACAACTTATAACACGAAGTCAAGCATGTTACCGGCCTGTAATTCTTAGGAACCGACAAATCTCCGCTTTTGGGGATAAGAACGGTCCGCCACTCGACGAACCAATCCGGAATCGGCTGCTCTCCATCCAGCCATGAGTTGAAAACTCTGGCCAGATGGCGGTGGGTACTTGGTAGTTTTTTCCACCAATAAGTGTTAAGCCCATCTGGGCCTGGAGCAGCAAAGTTCTTGGAACCAACAAGGGCCCTTCGAACGTCATCCGGGGTTATCGGGTTGCGCATTTCATTGGGCTCAGGCTGTCGAAGCTCTCTGTTGAAAGCTTCGAACTGCGCTAGGGCTGGAGTTGAGTGGCTGCGGGTGTTCATAGATATCCTTCCAGAAGGATTCCACCTGATCAGCGGTCGGCGGATTATTCACAACACGTGGAGGCTCTTGGAATAAGCGGGAAGGTTTCTCGGAACCTAAGGTTGTCCGCGATACTTCTCGCTCGCCTCACTAGTGACTTCTTAGCAGCCACTAGCATTCGTATCCTATCAAGGCAGTGCTGTTTGGTGGTCAGCAGCACGCCTTGGCTTAAAGTGTGATGGATACGTCGTGGATTGGCGGCTATTCGCCGCACTGCGGGCGTGAAAGGCCTGTTGGCCGCCGTGTAATCCATCACACATTGGATACGAGACGCCTGTTGTCTCGCCGACGTGATCTTAGCCTTCATCTTGTGTACATGCCGTTCAATCTTCCGAACCGTAAGGCCGCATCCAAATGAGCCAGTTCTTGTGGCTTCAGGGGCTCAATCCTGTAGAGCGTCCTGCGTGTTCTGATTGTCGTCTCCATTGGTGGTATGATGCGAGCATCCTCTCCAGCTGTGCCAACGGGTGGTAGAACTGTAACTTCTACCACTTCGTTAGCAGGCTGGGAAGGAGCTAAATAGCCCTGCCGCCGAAGATAAGATACATAATCCCTAAGGTTTTGCGCGGAAAAAGCGGCATGCTCCGGATGTGTTTCACATCACAGAGCATGCCATGTACCCTCTTCGCGTAGGCTCACTACTCTCGTAGCAATGCATAAGGCTATCTCTTAGCTCTCAGCTCATGCTCATTATATATATTATATGTATAATGTTTGCTTCACTTGTGATGTCACCAAATTGTCACCAACTTCGAAATTGAAATGCCGGATCGGTTTTGTGAATCGTTTTTATATTGTTATCAACTAATGGACCCTCTATCAGAAACTAGTGTGCTTGTTTGGAATCAAAGTGATTCATGTCAATGTCATGTCGAAACGTCGACAATTTAGAAATTGGTTTTCTTCAACATTTTGACCGAATTCCCGCCAACTTGGCAATCAAAATTGTATTTATAACGTTATTGCATTTCACCAGAATTCAATTAATTCATTACCACCGACAGACCAGAATGAGATCTTCCTAAATTCTATAATAAGTACGTGGAAAGTGGAAGAAATACCTAACAAGTGTATATATGTATATGTATACTGACTTCTCAATATTATTTGATCGCTGGGTGAATATAATCAAAGTGAAGGTCGACTACATTTGTTACCTACTTCGCAGAAATTCGCGACATGTTTCAGAACATCTTTCTTGATAAAGACTTCGACATGAACCTTGAACTGTACCTCGAAATCGAAATCGAATTTTTTGAATGTCGCCAATCTATGGCATTCGTCTGGTCTAATCGAATGAAATAGGTGAAAAGTTGGAGAATATTTCTAACGCTTTTCTTTTGGTTAAGAAAAGGAGGCGAAAATATAGTATGACAAAAAATATTATCAACTTCGTTACTTACGCCCCTTCGCTGGGGTTGAGTGTAACCCTTGAATGGAAAATGGGATGAGGAGTCAAGCGAAACAAAGTTTGAAAAATCACGAGTTGTCTTTTCAACGCTCAATACTCTTTTCAATTTCATGTTGAAGATATCGAAAAAAAAATGTTACTAGGAAATTCGGACAAAAAACAAACAGTTTGTAGGGTTTTTGACTCAGAAGCCTTATTTTGCTATATAGTTAGCACAATTTTTGTCAAGAAATACTTCACTTGGTCATTCACAATTCAGTTCGAGTATGATGTTATTTATGAAAAAATTTGAACATTTTATGCTATCTTCCACTGAAAGTAAAGAGAAATATGAATAACACTCCATTTATTTACATTTAGTATAACATTTCAAAGTGGAATTTTGAGCACCCTGTGATATGAAGCGACTATCAAAAAATAAATTTCATTATAAGGGAGGTAGATCGTTTGCTGAAAAATTCTCACTTGTTTACTTTGTAGCAAATGTTCAAGAAGTAGCAAAAACGTATGTGATTTTTTAGAACTTCAACTAGTGTTTCCTAATATGACTGATAACCAGTCCGTGCAAAGCGTATTGTTAAATCATCTGAAAAAGGAACTTTTAACGGATGATGATCAACTGTACTGCCAAACTTGCGCCAAACTAACTGACTATTATAAAAAAAGTATAGCTGAGGGAGCAGTCAATCTAATAATAGCACTGATGATCTTCAAACATGACTTAACCTCTGACGGAAGCAACAAACTCTTACGGAGGTTTGAAATAGATGAACATTTCAATCAAGCAGACCACTATTATAGTCTTCATTCAGTCATTGTTCACTGTGGTTGTGGCGTTGAATCTGGTTATTATTACCCATTAGTCAAAGTCGAAATGGACTGGTTTAAGTTTGTCGATAGTCGTGTCACTAAGTGTTCTGGCTATGTCTTGAATTTATTGGAGCCTCTGGATACACCCCAGATTCTGTTTTATGGCAGATCAAGATCTTCAGATGATGTGGTGCTGCAGGTTTATCCGGGTTTCCCTGCAGCTGAAAAAGCAAATGCGCCACTGGAATTAATAAGTCCCTTCGGATACCCAATTAATTTTTGTTGTTTCATAATTCCATGATTTGTATTACTCTCTTCTTTGATATATTTATTATACTTATCAAAGGAAGGTAGTTGTGCTAATATTACTGTCAGGACAGGTCTGACGTAAACCTACACTGGGTATATGTAGTCAATATACGAGTACAATATCCCACAGCTTAACTTATATATACCTAGGCTACTCGTCAGTTTTTGAATGAAACTTCTTCTGGAAGATGTTTCGAACGAAAGGGCTAAGAAGTGGCTCTTAAGGTCATCCCGATTAGGATCGTTAGTTTTTTGTGATGTCACTACAATTTATAAAACGACCAGAGCATCTCGATATGATGCAAATCAACTGAATACATGTTTAGAATTTTCAGGTGACTACTAGCAAAATATGATTGTGTGGACACGCAAGTGGATTATAAAAAACGAAATCAGTAGGCAGGACCGCAGTACTGACCGAAGTGTAACTTGTACAGAAAATGTCAAAAGAACTACAAACGAGAAAGTGGACAAAAAGGCTTTGAAACGAAAAAGAGTACAGTAAAGGAGATTCTTTGGAATGAGCATCAATGAGACGGGTCAAGAAAAAACGAGGGAAAATAATTGAACTCTCCCACAAAATACAAAACCTTCAAATCGATAGGCATCTCCTACAGTACTGAATTATTAGACAGTACATACAGTGATCGAAAGCCAAATGTAATAAGTTCATTATTTCGATTAGTCATACCTTCAAATGACAGGTTCAACCCCCAATTCTTTAAAAAGGAAGTATAGACTTGTAATGTATCGTTTAAAAGTTCTCTTCATTCTCTATTAGAACCTATTATCGTTTTCAAATTTATTGCAACAATTAGGATGAAATAAATTGAAATCATGTGGTTACCAAAATTCGATATAATACACTCAAAAACCAAAATTTAATGCAAAACGAAATGAAATGTAGAATACGAAAAAGAACTATGGATGTTAACGAAGTAGATGTTCAAAATGTTCACCGTGAACGTCTTGGCAACATTCTAATCTCAAATAAAACCGTCTTCTAACATTATTTAACAAATCAGGGGTCTAATCGCAAGCGTTATTCGTTCTTTCAAGTCATTCAAATCTGAAGGTTTAGTTTTCTATCAGGTGATCGCGCTGGCCCTTCAATCGATCTTCGCCTCCCTATCCACCAATTGGAAAATGTTGTATCGAGGTATTGCCAGATATTAACTTGGTAATGTGGTGGTGCTCCATCCTGCTGAAACCATATCGTATTCACTGGAACTTGAGGGTTTCCTGGAACAGGATTTAACTCTGCTAAACTTGGAATGATATCATTTTGAAGAAGTGCCAAATAATCATCGGCAATCAAGTTGCCTTCTATGAAAAGGGTCCAATGATATGGTTTCCTACAATCCCTGCCCAAACATTAAGCTTTTGAGGGTACTACCTGTGTTCTTCTCCCATCCAGTGAGAATTTTTCGTTGACCAGTAGCGGCAATTTTGCCGATTAGCATGACCGTTAAGAGACAAAGTACACTCATCAGAAAACATGATGTCTTCTACATGAATGATATTCATATCCAACATGTCCATCATTTGCTCACAAAAATACGTTTTTCTATCAAAATCGTCTTCCAAGGGCTCACGAGTAGGAAATATTTTTTTTTAATATGTTCCCTATCGATATATGGCTAACATTGAATGTAGTAGATGCCTGTCTACGCGATGTATGTGGGTTTTCCTCAAACTCAAACATCACATCTAATTCGATTTCATCACTCATTGCAGTAGCAGCAGATTTTTTTATTTGCTACAGATGACCAAGCTCGCGAAACTACTTCTCTATTTTGCTTATTGTTCCTTGAGATATGGGCAGTTAATTAGTAAACTTCTCATTGAATAGGCGAGCTACTTCCTGTTGTGTTCGGGTTTTATCTATCGACTATCGGTGTATATTAGACCCAACCCGTGCCTTCGTGGTAAGATTTTTTTCAAACTCATTTCGATGAAATGTATTGAAACGCTTATTTCACAGCTTTCATGATGAATGATCCCTACGAAAGAGAGATACGAGAGTTGCAATCTATGTTTGATGAAGTGTTGACTGACGAAGAAGTCAAATCTGATGATGATTCTGAGACGGATGATATGGAGATGTTGAAGGATAGAACAAACATTATAAGTACTCATGAAACAGATTCAGAACAGGAGCTGAGTATGGATGATGAAGAGGAAGAAATGATTGTAGATATGGATCAACGTCCTGGTATACATCGTCACCTGTCTTATTATGGAAAAACTGGTTTTCAATGGAATAAGTGCTGCTTTCCAAAGAATTTTCGAACTAGGCAACATAATCTGATAAAAAAGCTGCCAGGTGTTATTGGCGTTGCAAAAAACTCAAAAACTGCAATGGAAACTTGGGAGCTATTTTTTTCGGATAACATAGTACCTACAGAAAATAGTTGAATATACCAATCAGTTCATTGAAAAAGTAGCTCATTCATATAAAGATAAATACGACGTACGTTACACAGATATAACGGAAATCAAAGCACTAATCGGCCTGTTATATTTAGCTGGTGTCCATAAAGGAGATCGAACCACTATTTACGAATTATGGGCAACATATGGTACTGGTCTGGAGATATTCCCAGCAGTTATGGCTAAAAGAAGATTCCGCTTTTTGATAAGGTGGTTACACTTTGATGATGTCGATACACGTGAAGAGAGGAAAAAAACCGACAATCTTGCACCTATTAGGGAACTGTTTGGTGAAGTAAATGGAAAATTCAGAAATCATTACTCGCCAGGAGAATACGTCACGAATGATGAAATGCTATTAGCCTTCCGTGGCCGATGTGCGTTCCGAATGTACATACCTAATAAACCTGCAAGATATGGAATAAAAATATATTCGCTTGTAGATGAATGTAAATTGAATTACTTACAAGAAGAACATGGAATACTATATATCACTTTAGACTTTTCTTTGTTGCTGAGATGGGTTTTGGTTCTAGAATAAAGGAGTTGAATTATTTTAGAATTCTTGGTAAAAATTCTTATACTTTTCATGTCTCGAAATATATGAATGATGAATGAGAACAAAAAATGTTTCCTAATTATTCACCAAACTCAAACACCTTCAAACATGACTCAACCTCTGACGGAAGCACCAAACTCATACGAAGGTTCGAAATAGATGAACACTTAAATCTAGCAGACCACTATAAAAATTTTCATGCAGTCATTATTCACTGTGGTTCTGGCGTTGAATCTGGTCATCATTACACCTTGGTCAAAGACGAAACGGACTGGTTTAAGTTTGACGATAGTGGTATCACTAAATGTTATGGCGATGTATTGAATTTATTGGAGCCTCTGGAGACACCCTATATTTTGTTTTATGAGAGAGAAAGGATATTGGCAGATCAAGATCTTCAGATGATGTGGTGCTGCAGGTTTTTCCGGGTTTTCCTGCAGCTCGAGCAAATGCGCCACTGGAATCAATGAAATCGCCCCGGAACGCCAATTAATTTTTGTTTTATAATTTCCTGATTTGTATTTTGGAAGTATTGTTATGAAAAATCAAATGTTAAGTGATGTAGGACAGCGTTTTCCAAACTTTTTTGCCTGGGGACCCACTTTCATTGTGGATTTTTTTTCGCTACCAACATAATAAATAATATTAAGTGTAATCATTATCACTTATAATATTTTTATCATTACTTTTACCATTTACCTCAATAATGTGAATTCATCATTGAGGTAAATGGTAAAGATGATATAATTGAAGATAATATACAGTACGGAAAAAGACTTTTGATTCAGAATCTTGAAACTGAACAAATAAAAAAAATGAAAAAATGAGACTTATGTTATCAATGTTATTTGTGGAGCTGGTGCTTACGATTAACAAGAGATTTTATATCTGGGTTGAAAGTTGAAAGCATATAGTGTAATCGAACAATTTCATCAAATCCATCATTCTGATGGAAATGAAAAAAGAAGTGTTTGAGAAATCTCATCATGTTCTTTCGGTGAACATCGAATCTACAAACAACGTTTACGAAACATTATTATTGATGAATTTCTGAAACATATTATCTCAGTTACTGTTTCATTAGTATGTATGTGTCAAAATATAAGCTCAATAACAGTTTCATTAGAATGTATCTGTTATAATTTGTTCAACCTTGGAATGAATGTATGTCTTTCGATTGCTTTCGGCACTTCCTAGGAGACATTTGCTGATATCTTTTGGAAGAGTAAACTGTTTCGTTACCTAACGCGTTAAGCGTCAGTCGTTTCTGGCTTTCCTTTCTTTCACGCATACGTTAGCCGAAGGCAGGCTCCGCCTCTTTCGTCGGACAGACGCTCAGTACTTAATGTGCGATGGACATATACTGTTGACAATATTGAAAAAATCTAACCAGCAAGCACAAATATTCTTTCATTGTGTGAATGAATTATATTAATTTTGTGTTAGTACATTATTTGCATCATTATTTTAATCCTACCAAAGTAACAATTGGCTCATGGTAGCTATACTATATGTACATACACAAAATAATCAATAAAAGATTTCATTAATAAATAACCTTTCTTTACATTATCATATCAATATACATAAAATTTAAATAATAACCTAAGCTTTTCTCAAGTTAAACAACTTCAATATTGAATAGTTCAAGTTTGAATGGTCAAGTTATGACTTCTGTCGGGTGTCCCGTGAAGAACACGTTTTTTAATTGCGTTTCAGCTATCAACATTTTTGCTTGATAGTTTTGGAGATATGTAGTTTGGAAAAAATTATAAATCCCTTCAGGAAATTTAATAAACTACTTCAATTCATCGTAAGCCTATTATAGGAAAACAAGTATCACCATGTACGATTATGCATGCATTTATTACTTTATCAACATTGCGCAGGATGCGAATGGGAAAAAAAATTAATTTGATCAGCAGAAAATATTGCCAAGTTCATTTTGAATTTGTGTATACCAATTCTACTCAAGTTCTTCATATTTTACACTCACTACAGAGCAAATCTTATGAGGCAGGTATGATTTCATTTGGATATCTTTTGGTAACAGAGGATATTCAATTAATTGCAAACAATTCATCAATAAAGCAGATACTTCGCCAATTTCGTAATGTGTGAGTTGATAAAGTCGAAGTCTTCATTGTCAAATAGCTGTTCTAGATAAAAATCGACCTGACCTTTGTCTCCGGCATCTCCATTGAGCCAGTTGTACCACTTCAAAAGATAGTCTTGAGGATTTTTGAAATAGCAGAGTATTTTTCATCCTGATAGGCGACGTTGAATAACGGCTCTAGATCTAGATCGACTTGGCCTTTGTAATCAATGGTCAACCAATTCTTATCGTACAGAGTATGCAAAGGACGAAAAAATTGAAGCTTGTTCTTCTGAAGTTACGCGTTGTCCCCAATGAACCAGTTGTGAAAGATAATTTTTGGGAAAGCGGATTTTTTATTCATCCTGATGGGCCCCAGTTCTTGAGTTCTTCTACACCATCCCACTCGATATGATCTTCAATAATCCCCAATCATTCCATAACCTAGTGGTATGTCCTCACGAACTGGAAATGTGCTACGTCCATGGTCAGAGGTAATTTTGAGCAGAGTGGCTACCGATTTTTAATTTGTTGTCAACGACTGTTGTTTACTGCTACTATACATAAAAAACAAGATTTTGTCCTTTATCTCTAATAGAATGGTGTAGACTCCACATTCGAGACGTAAGTGGAAAGTAATCAGATAATTCATACTTGTTGTTGTTAATTTTTTTGTTAAATGAAAAGTTTATGCATCATGTAGGTAACTGATACATTTAAAATTTTCGTCTTGCTTTCCCAAAATAGGTTTTTACTGAATAAAGCTTCTGAATTGCAGGAATTCAGAAATAATTTTTTTAGGTGAAATACACCAAAAAAAAATGAGGAAGTATGTGAAGAAATTGCCAATTTTTTTTTAGATGATGGAGGGCACGAAAGGAGAAAATTGAGAATTTTGCGTTTCATATAACTACTACACATCCTAAACATTATAAAATTCAGAACTACCGCACATTTTGTAAGTAAAACCCCTAGTATGAGTGCCAGATGCGAATTATTGACTCCAGAATCAGAGCCAACTTTCAGGATACCAAAATCATTTGTTCAAAACCAGGAAAAGAAATCACCATGAAAAATATAGACAAAATGTATCTGGAAACATACAAGGGAAAACATTCGAAACTTGGAGAGCTGCTTCAAAAAAGCAGGGCTTGGTTTGAAATAATTACATGACTTCTCACTGAATCCTGTTCAGGGAGACATCTTAACAAAATTGGGGTGTATAACGAAGACTTCGCCTGAAGGAGATTCAATAAAAAAACAGAAGTAGGTTGCCATGTTCCATGCAAATATGAAACAATCAGATGATGCTCGACAGGTACGATTCGAGAGCTGCACATTCAGCTTGAATCTCTACAGCTTACCTGTGAGGTAGGTCTAGTTATTACCATGCAGCCATAAAGAGCATTACAGTAGACCTAATTTTGTGTTATTGGATGGAAGGAAATATATCATGGTCTTCCAACTTCGAAAGGCTTATTCCTCTTAAGGAAATTCAGGCCTTCGATAAGAAGCTGGATTCAGTTGGTCAAGCAATATTAGAAACATTATATTGCAATAAGCCCCTGCATGTTTCATTGGAGGGACAAATAGATAAGATGTTTCTAGGAGCCTAAGGAGGAATGAGAAAGTCAGTTGGCGCGCAAGCCAACTCAGTCATGAATGAAAAATTCCTAATGCTCGATTTGATGAGCGGTCTTCACCTGGATATGGTAGTAGAAGTCTATATTTTGTATAGCGAACAAATGATGACCTGTGGAAAATCTGGCGGACAATAAACGACTGAGTATTACTGGAATCTTTTTCCGACACCAAAACTTCATCTTAACACCTCGACATGATCACCAAGTGATCATCTTCAAGAGGAAGATTGAACAGTTTAAGAAAATGATCACTTGGTGATCGAAACACGTATCGAGGTGTTGAAATAATGGTTTGGTGTTGGGAAAAAACTCCAGTAATATACANGTTTGTCGATAGTCGTTCCAAACAGTGCATCATAAGTTCATGCTTTCATAGTTATTCGATACCTATGACTGTCACTACCTGTTAATGACCATTACTACCTGGTACTGATAATTACTATCTATTACTAGCAATTACTAACTATTACTGATAATGACTATTACTAATTATTACTACCTGTCAGGTGGTGACGGTCATAGGATTCAAATCATCAGTATTTTCACACCTGAAGATACTATTGTATCGCTAAACGTGTTACGCTGTTTTGTAAAATGTTTCATAGTCTTCGCACTAGAATATTCTCAAACAAATTGATAACAAATAATTGTTCGTTGCGAGTAGTACACGTTATGGCCTTATGCAGATTTGATATATCCGACAGCTATTTTCTTGTTTTTGGAATTCATTTATCGAAGAACTTTTGCTTTTGATAGTAGCAGATACTACCAAATTATGCAATATTCAACAGTATATTTCAATAAATTTGATATCAATTATTTATCAATTGTGTAATGACCATGTTGAAATTTTTTTTGAGTATTTCGCATCTGTTATATATAATGATTATATAATCCATTATATAATCAAAGTGAGTATACTCTCAATGCCATTCAATTAACGCCAATTTGTTATTATATTGAGTAGACAGCTCGTGATTTACAGAAATATTTCTGTTTTCATCGACTATCATCGGGGGTAGGTAATACTGAAATATTTTGTCATCAATGTATTATTGGAAAATGTTCAATAATGGTTCC